AAGTGTAATGGAAAATAAAAATCAGCATAGTGAAAGCCCAAAATAAAGTGGTAAGGTAAAATTACTAGTATGGTTTTAAAAAATAAATAATAATAATAATAAATAGCGTTTGGTTGTGCAACCAATATTAATTGCTAGCTTGCGCATATATATATATATATATATATGTGGAAAAAAAATGGTTGCACCATAATTCTTATTTCCTAAAAAAAAAAACTTATAAAACAATGCTCGTTTGTGCAACCAGCATTATATATAGGGTTTTATTTTTATGTTGGAAAGCATTGCTTGCTACTAATAGAGTTGACAAGCACTGTCTGCCACTGAAAAGGCTGACAAGCATTATATGTCTCGAAAAATGCTAGCAAGCACTGTCAGCCACGAAAAAAGATTGGTTACCACTATTTGTTTTTATCTTGAAGAAAAAAAAATCATGATATTAAGTATAACCAAAAAAAAATTTTAAAAATGAAAAAAATTGTTGGCTAGCTAAAAAAATAATAATAATAAATTTTGTCGCTTTTGCTGGTATCTACTGATGTACCGGCGCAACCCAACAGCTTGCACTAGTCCATACGCCAGCAGCTGCTGGCCTGCGTAACCTTCCAATTTAAAAAAATATATATAAAAAAAAATACTTGTGTAAAATTTATCTCCTATTTCTTCATGAGCTATGAAAGCTAAAGGCATGAATTTCAAGAATTTTGAAATAGATCTATAAGTTGTTAATTTCTCTCTCAATTTAAAAAATTATGAAGCAAAAGTTTGTTTTGACAACTAGAGTTTTTTTTTTTTTTTTTTTTTAATGGGTAGTTAAGAAAACAAAAATTTCCATAATACCCTTAATGAATCCTTTTTTGATTTGGAAAGTCAAGGGATACTATATAAAAGACGTAGTGATGACGAAAAATCCTTAAAGGGCTCTCTTTAATGTAAAAAAAAAACCAATCATTCCTAAACATCAAAATACTCATGGCAAGTCCACGATAATTATTATCAATTATTTTTCCAGTTTTATTTTTTTATTTTTATTTTATATATATTATTTTCTCTCTATTTCACTATACATGATTGCACAAACACCCTTGCTAGCAAGGTTGTTTGTATAGAAGGCTAAATGTGTAGGTTCAACTTGTCCATAAGAAATTAATTAAATAACTTAGCTAATTTGTTATTATATACTAATATGTGTTGTTTTTCTTAACCTTTTTGACATGGACTCAAACTATACCACAAATAGATTGGATTAAGGATGAGCCTCTCTCAACGCCGAGTCATGGGTTACAAGAATGGACATGAGTGTTCGGCGGGATCGGTATTCATGTCTTGTTTTTTAGATGCATTAGGGAGATTGGCTTGGAGGGGTTCGGAGCATGATCTGTTTAAAAAGGTCCAATTGTTACTTCATTTAACATTTGTTAGTAAGTTAAAGCGAGTTTAGCCTAAACAACCTAAATCTTTTAAGTTAAGTCGACCCTCCAAACTTACATGATGTGGCATGATCCTAGTGATCAAGAGCCATCTTCTTTCACTATAAATACCAACCTTATATCATTATGAGGGAATCGAACTTTTGCATCAGAGAAATTTTGACCTTAGAAATTTTAATCTCTAGCACAAAAAACACTTGAACTCTCTATCTCAAGCTCTCTCGTTCACACACTAGACAATAACTAAAGCTCAACCTATTTGGACCTTGACTACCCATCTGTCAATCACACGACTTGTACCTTGTTATCATTGCCTGTTTCACCTCCTACACCTCTCACTATTTTCATTCTTTTTGTTTAATTGGTTGATCGTTGCTTCTATAAGTTACAACACTAGACATCTATGTTTGGTGCTTCACCACACATTTTGAAAATTTCTTCATTTCCTTTTAGTGAGGTTTTTGAAAGGTGGCAGCCTCCTTTAAATTAGGCCATCTATGTTTGGTGCCAACATAGTTGTTGGAAAATATGAAAAAACTTAGCCATTGGCTCTCTTGTCGCTTATGCAAAAAAATCCCTCTTACATTTTTACTGTCTCCTCCATCTTCGATCTATCATCTCTTTTCATTCTTTACTTGCCTTTACTTCTTTGTAAGCCGCACTTTTGATTGTTCACCAGCTGTTTCTTACCGGGTGAAATCCATAGGCGGTAAAAAAATCAATTAATTGATCATTAGCTCAATCATGTGGCATCCTAAAAATTTATTCTATATTATATGAAACAAAAAAAATTGCGAAGCACGATTTACTAGCTTGGGACGCTGCTTCTAGATTATATTACTGGGATTCAAACCTTCGTTGCCTCTATTGAATTTCAATTCGGTTTAGCGATCTAGAAGCTTCCTCTATCCTCGTTGCCTTACCCTCTAAGTTAATTATACTACTCGCTTCCATAGCTAGCTTAATCTTAATTCTGATAGCTTATCCAATTTTAAAGTGTTTAATTACTGTTTATCGTATTCTATCTTTTATAATTAGGTATTGCAAACAGACATGGAGATTAATTTTGAGGTTAAAAAAGTTTCTATAAATAGACATGCCTCTACCCTGCATCTTTTCAACGTTAATGGTTTATATGTTATGTACCTTTATGGATGTTTTTCTGGTAAAGATAACTCCATCATTTGTAGGTATATTTGTAGATTTTGATTTTTTTTAAAAAAAAAATTGTTTCAATTTTTATTTGGTTTTGTTAATGACTATAGTTTTGTGGTTGTGCAGGACTGTTTCCATTGGTTCACAAATTTATTCTAATGCAGATGCTAAAATTTTTGTCGCATCCTTACAGTGAGTGATACACATTTAGGAATTCTTTCTTCTCAGTTGGATTTCAAGTATCGCAAATTAAGTTCCAAACTAAATAATGTTGATTGTTTTGGTTTAGGATTGAAGTAATGTTATTTGTTAGTCAAAGTGTGAGCACATGATGACTTTCATGATTAAGTTAAACTATTTTGATCGATGTAAAAGTATAGATATTATAGTCAATCATATGGGCATCCTAAAAAATGAGCTAATTAATGATAGATTTTGGGATCCCTTTTTGAGTGAAATAACCTTAAGGCGAATATATTCTATATTATATGCAAATAAAAAATAAGAACCTTACAAAAAAAAAAAAAAAAAAATTTACTACTGCAATACTTTTTACATGTTATATATTTTTTTTAATTTCTTCCTCATCTAGCATTTTATACGCTTACAAAATTCAACAAGCTAATAATTTTTCTTAAATTCTTTTCTCCTTGAGCGTTCTATACACTTGCAAAATTTAACAATTTAAGCAATCTTAAAAATAAAAATAAAAAATTCTTAAATCTATCAGATTCTTAATAAATTAGTTAACTATAATAAATTACCATGTATATTTCATATTTAATTTCTTTATTTGATATGATAAACAAAAATAATTAAAACCTTGCACAAATATTACATCTCATGTTGTATAAATATTATGACTTTTTTCCCTTTTTGTTTTAGCTCTGTCATCTTTTAAAATTTAACAATTCGGCAATTATTGAAATAAATGCAACATTCCAAAATCTATCAAATTCTTTTTGAAAAATAATAAATTATGATAGATAAAAATGTTTATTTCATGGTTTATTGTTTCGGTGATCGTTCAACTGTATATGAACAAAAAATTCGACTTTTAAGAATAACAAATAGCTTTTCCTTACAAATTTCAAAAAGTGCATATTTTTCATTCCGAAAAATAAACATCATGCGCGAATTTGTTTTTTATTGTTAAACAAGAACTTTTCTTTACAACAAGAGCATTGATTATTAAGCTACAACACAACACATGGATGGCGGATTCAAATATGCCCTCACTATATACTTAAAACTTGCATGTCCGCCAACGGTCACCGCCACTGTACAGTTCACGGAATGCTCCACCAGCCGACTATATCCAAGTAATACTCTACCAATACTTGCTCTGAAAAAAAAATATTAACGAAAAAAAATAACAGCAATCAACAAATTAATGAATAATTAAAACTTTGATATACAGAAAAAAAATAGCAGCAACCAACAAATTAATATATGCTAAGTAGTTAGTTACCAGCTTTCATAACTATTCTTCTAAACTTTACAACATATTAACCTTCCTGGTGTAGAAAAACAACACTCACGAGGGGGAAAAAACCGTACCGCAGTAAAGCGACTAAACAGACTCTGAACAGTAAGCTCTGATTGTGGAGCTAACAAAAGAGCGCTATATAAAAAACAACTCAAAACGCAAGAAAGGAAAAGCCAAAACGCAAGAAAAATGGCTGCATAATTTATTTTTTTAAAAAAAATAGTCAACATGAGTGTGTACGAAACAAGCACAATGAATATGTAAAACAAAAGTGAAAGCTACAGTACACAAACCTTTTGTTTTAGTGTTTTTATTAATAGGAATAATTAATTGTATCATACAACACCGATTATATATATATAATGCTATGTTTTTTTGCAGGATTTAAAGTAAACTTCTTTGTGCAAATGTTTTAAGCACCAAAACAATCATTGATGTACTAATTTCTATTGGTTTTTGGAAAAAAAGAAAAAAACCCACAGGAAAACATGATCAATCATTGGCAGTTGCAATCTCGACGATGGGTTTGCCATGACCGAAGTTTGAACTCGGAGGACGTGAGCTCAGCTATGAGCGAAAGACAGAGTTACACGTGAACCGCCAATTCAGTTGGACCCACCCTATCACGCACATATAAACGGTCAAGATCAATTCTCATTATACCGCGGTCTGATCGTGCAGCATGAACCTACATTAGGCTGACTCTTTTTTTTTCCTCACGGGGCCCACAATAAAAAGTTCTCCCCCACGCACTCCATCACCAACGTCCATAACCGCTTCCCTCAACTCTCCAATCTCCACTACGCCAATAACAAACTCTCACTTCTCACTCTCCCATTTTCATTTTCAGTATTCAATAACAGAATTTAAAAAGCACCAACTCTCTCTAGCTCTCTCTCCTGCAATTCAAATTTTGAAAAACAGAAATGAAGCTCAAACCGAGCAGCAGAGTGAAGCATCATATCCAGCGAGAGCCGTGCATCATGAAGAAGCAGCGAAGCAAGCGTCCGTTCCGAGTCCGCTCTCAGATCTCACCAATTTTACTCTCCAATAATCTCACTCGCAAGAAGAACAAAGGAGTCTCTGTGAATTCGACCTCTCACTCTCACTTCGGCGATGAGGTTTCTTGCAATTCAAGCAGAGTTACAGTTGAATCGAATCCGAGGAAGAGAAAGCTCGAAGACTCATCGTTTCGGAGAATCACGAGAGCATACTACAAGCAGAAGGAGAGAGAGCGGAGAGCATGTGAAGTAGAATTGAGTGAATCTTCTTGTGTGGAGGAGTCTCATAGCAGGTTCAAAGAAATTCAAGTCAATGACGCTTCTACCTTTTCCTCTCTTCACAAAAATTTAAATTCAAGGAAAATTCCCTTGGAGATTAAAGAAGACGACGCCATATCCGTGGCTTCAGGTGTGGATTCCTGCTTATCACATAAAACGACGACAAACAAAGAGACAGAGTTCTCTGAGATTTCCAAAAACGATGCAGTTTCTGTTAATGAGTGTGTCGTAGAGCAGCAGAAGCCGCCGAACAGCTTGGGAGGAGAAGGAGAAAATGATGACCTGGCTTGTACGGAGGAGCTGTATGTGGACGACGGAGTTTCGGAATACTCGTCTTGTCAGGAGACGGCGTTCTCGGGGATGCAATCGGAGATATTCCCGGAGAAGTATTCGTCGGACGACCTCTGTTTCTCTGATGATTACACGCCGTCTATTTTCTTCGAATCTGGAAGTGAATTTTCTGAGAAGTCCGTGAGTGATTCGAATCCTTCGCAGACTTACTCTCTGTTGCTCCAGTTTAGGCAGCAATTCTCGCGATCGAGTTTACCCCTAGAAACTAGAAAATCGTCAGCCCTTGAAGTGGAGTATCAAGAGAATTCCACTGTAAGTTTTTGAATTAACAGCTACTATTGTTTTCGTGCTATTTTGCTGTGTTTTAATGTGCTCATTGTTTTAATTTGTTTTGTTGCTTAAGTTTGCAACACTGGAAGATGAGGAAGACGAGGAGAGCTACAAGAGATTGAGAGAACGAGAGAGAAGGCAATTGTTTTTGCACGACTACCCTGAATCGTACCGTACCACCACGGAGCACGGCGATCTCATTCTCCAGCAACGGTTGCAGATGGTGCACTGGATTATTGAGGTAATTTTTTTAGTTAATCTCCGTAGTTAACCAATCAATTACTTGGATGCGGCGATTATGCGACAGTTCGCTAGTTTTCCTTTTTGTCAATACACACAAGTTTGAAGAGGTTGATTCCTTCTGTTATGGAAGAAAATGTCCTCTACATCGGGGTACTTCTACTTGAAGTGTTGGACAAATGGCGTTGTGACACGTCACATTTTGAGATTTTGGTTGTCGGGCTTTAAAGCTAACGGATCTTGCGATTGTACCATTTGTGGCATGGTCAGTGCTGTCGCTGCACTAGATCACACTAGATTTACTCCGTGTCCTTATTTTTTCTTTCAATTGACCAAGTGTATTTTTGTCATTTTCTCACTTTTCCGGCTGTTTGTATTCTGATGAAGTCGCTGACACTAACCAACCAAGAGTTGCTAGTCACTGTTTATTCTTTTGGACTGTCAATTGACAATTTGTATTAGCAATTGTGCCTAATGTTCTTCTAATTAAATGGTAATCACTTGTGTTAAACAAATGGTAATCTTGCTTCCTTCGTGTCTGTTGCTTTGATTAAGCAGCAATCAACTACAAAGGAGTTTGAGCTGGCGACTATGTTTCTTGGAATTAGCCTTCTGGACCGGTTCCTAACAAAAGGGTTCTTCAAGAACAAAAGGCACCTTCAAATTGTTGGTATAGCTTGTCTTTCATTGGCCACCAGAATAGAAGAAAATCAGCCCTATAACTGGTAACTATCTCTGCCTTATTCTTTTTCATTGTCATCATGTCCTAGATTGGTTAAGGAATAAATTGAAAAAAGGCACCTTTAGATGCATAATTCTTTCCTTTTAGTCCTTTACATACTAATGGCTTGCATTTACATGGAATTGTCAAAAAGTTATTATACTGAATAAAAACTAGGAGTGGACAACTTGTAAATCATCGTAAGAAACAGATAACAAGTTAATGTTGCGTGGTTGTTTTTGATCGACTTTTGGGCTAACGGAAAAGAAAAATTGCTGTCAACTTGCTGCCAGATCAAGGCTCAAATGAAACTTGAACACACTGGATGAACTACAACTTAATACCTTGACGTTTGCAAGTACTAACACACTCCTATAGGACTCTGGTTCTTTTTTTCTTTTTTTTTCGTGGTTATATATAATCTGTCTTGTTGTCATTAAAGCTAGCTGTCCATCACTTCAAAACTGAAGATAATATGTCTAGTTGCAAGTTCTGCTCTGGTCGATGAGAGTTCCACTGATAACTTTATTACGGGAATTTCAGTGTTAGGCAAAAGAATTTCTACATTGGAAACAATGTGTACAGCAGATGTGAAGTGGTGGCCATGGAATGGCTGGTGCAGGAGGTCCTTAACTTCCGATGCTTCTTGCCCACCATCCACAATTTCATGTGGTAACTCTTTTTTTCTTTTCCACTCGCATACTTTATACTTGATGGTAGTAAGATTCGCATCTTGTCTTGGACATGAGCACACTTAGTTTTCTCTTTCATTCATATCATCTCTAGTTTAGGAAGTCTGATACAATCCTGTCCTCTTTTCAGGTTCTACCTGAAAGCTATTAAAGCTGATGCAGTGGTGGAGAAGAGGGCCAGATACTTGGCAGTGCTGGCACTGTCAGACCATGAGCAACTTAGGCATTGGCCGTCAACAGTTGCAGCCACGCTTGTCATTCTCGCTTCTCTAGAAAGCAATGAAATTGTATCCTATGGACGAGTTATTGAGGTATAAATATTAATTTGCAATACAAACTTGCAGTGCTCGATTACCAAAATAAAACGATTTGGGCTGTTAATGGGTCGAGGTGCTGTTACTTATTTCATTTTAGATTTTTGGACGTGATTTGCTATATATGATATAATTCAGTGAAATATCTGAAAATTGCCCCAGTAGATACCTTTCTCCCTGGCTCATCCCTGAAGTTATATTGCAAATAATATGCTCTTTGATTCTGATTAGTCAATTTGATTTTACAGGTTCATGTGAGAACAAACGAAAATGACCTACACGAGTGCATAAAGGTATGTGAATATAGATCTTTTCTAAAGCGGTATAACTGTACCCTCTTTTTTATGCAATTCGTTTCTTGGAAGGTGCTGCTGTTAATAGATTTACATTCACATTCTCAAAAGCTACAGCCGTTGGTGTTGATTTTGTTTATCATGTTAATTTAGTTCGAATTATTTGACAATGTATCAACAGAGCCTGGAGTGGTTGCTGCAGTATATGGACTAGCAGTCTAGCAGGAGAAGGAATGAAGGATCATATGATCACCTTTTGTACACTGACGTTCTTTTCTCACACACACCATTTTTACTGCAGATGAAGATATGTGAAAAGCCTGATAATAATGATAACGCAAATCTGATTCTTTTACAACTCAACAGCACATGCTTTTACCAAACTGTTCGTAATATAGAATGACAGAATCTGTATTCGACAAGCTGGCTCATGTAAATTCAAAGACATAATATTCCATGTATTCTTTTGTTTGATCTATATAAAGCGATGATAGGCAGAAAGAAGGGTTTTTATTTATTTATTGCCATTGTCATTTTGTTGTCTTGGCAGGCAACGCTCTGCCATATATTGGTTTCTGTTCTTAGTAGTACAATAACAGTGAAAAAACTGACCTCAGAATCCCGTGAATGCAGTCGCCAGATTAGTTTATCTACCTTAACTCGACCAGGAAATGCAAGTACCTCATTCATGATTGCAGAATGGTGAACACGTGTGATGAAATTTTGCCTTTTCAAGGATGTTTTGTGCATTCCATTGAAATCATGGATATATTAAGAATATGCCTGGCACTAGTTCTTTGAAACTTTTAAACACTAAAGATGTATTTGATCACCTAAGCTTGTTTCATGATAGCAGTAACCAGAGGTTTTACTTTCAACCACGTGTCGTTGGCCTGGAAGGGAAAAGTAGAACTGAATTGAAGGTGGATTAATGTCGGTCTGGAAAGAAATGGTGCAAAAACTAACCTATGAAATTACCCAGAGAAAGAAGAAGAGAGAACAAAAATGTGAAGAACACAAATTATATGTCCAGATTGTCTCGCAGAGCTGGTTTGGTAGCTGGCTCCTCGTGCGATTTTTCTTCTTTGGCCAAACGGGAAAAGGTTTCAACTTCAAATAAAATGCCGAAGTGACAATACCCTACCTTCTAAAGGAGCCAATGCTCCATTGTTCTACCACAGTTTGAAACATGAGAGTCGCACAAGGATTTTATCTTTGTGTCGAAAGCATCTCAAGTCTTTATAGTTCTACAGGAATATTCTTCTGAGGTTTCTTGGGCCAAAATTAGCTCTGTAAATTGTCTAGAAGAAGGATTCTAAACCCCAGATGAGCTTGTGGGGGGTAAGAAGGCATCGGTCTTGTTACGGATGACTGAATCCAATCCCAGCCATGAATCTGATGGTGTCACCCATTTACTTCTAAGCTCTACCTTTATTTTTGCGCAAACTTGTGATATAAGATTCTGTACTCCCTGGGCCCATGCCATTGCGCCTGGAGGTTCATTGCAAGGACGGTAATTTCAGCTGTGCTTTCCACAGGCAAATTTTGTCAGGTTTTAGGGAAACAAAAAACTAGACCCGCTCACTTGTACAATGGCTGCATTTATGATTAGTATAAATGGAAAAGTTACAGATAGGAAGCAATATTTTCAAACAAAATGCCAACGAAATTTGTCCCAAGTGCAGTATCTCATAGAAACAGAGAAGGGAGTCTGAAATTTACTGCTTACATTTAAATACAATGGGAAACCGCGGGAAATACATACATAAAATCAAGTGTATTTAGAAGAAGACCACATCCCTCATATATTTGCAAGCTTGCTATCTGCTGGATCATTTGGAAGCATTGGAGGCTCTCCTGCTGGAGACCTATCATGATGGATGTGCGCTGAGGTCCTCTCGCTGACTGGAATTGCCATTTTTTCCTCTTCAGCTTTTTCAACTTTCTCCCTAGTCATCACGCTCACATCCTCAGCTGCCTTTGCCACTGCAGTAAGTGCACCCGAAACCCATGAAGCTCCTGTGGATACGTAAGGGTTGCTCATGATGGCAGATCCTACACTGCTTGCCTTCTGCTCAGCAGCTGAAAGGGCAGATTTCGTCTTTACAAGCACATGGAACTTCTCATCCATCTCCCGAACCTTCTCATTCACCACAGCTGTACCCACACTTAGCTTTTCACTCAGACCTATCTTATGGCCAATTGAAGCAACTGTTGCAGAGGCATTTGAAGACAGATGAATACGTTCATCAAAGGCTCTGGCCTTGTTGAGGGCATCCTTCCCCAATACAAAGCCCTTGGCAAGCATGGTGCTCACCACATCTTCTGCCTTCTTGACGGCAGAATCAGTAACAGGTGGCTTTTGGTCCTGAAAAGAGGGATAGTAGAAAAGAAAATTAAAAGAGTAAGAATGATTGACTTTTCAGTACAACCCATTCCCCTCCCCTCCTCAAGGAAACAGAAGAAAACAATCCACATATCAATGCAGATGCTGATCTTTGAACTCTACCAGATGCATAGGAACAAGAGAGAGAAACTGCCCTTAAAAGCAACAAAAGTACAAGCAAACCTGACGAGGAGCAGAAATTACTGACCTGGTGAATCCAGAATCAGCAAATCACCATGACTTTATTTAATTTCTTGTCTAAATAAACTTGGTCAATTAAGACAACCACAGGTTCATATTTATTAGAACGCTACAGGTTCGTTTTTGAGTTCATCCATGATTTATATTCATTGGGAAAGAAAAAAAAAACTCTTACAGATAGCAATCCATGCCATGCTCTCAGAACTAAAATATAAATGAATAACCTAGCTTCTGATTATCTCAAAGTCCCAAGTAAATTTTTGATGCATCTAATTTCAAGCACGGAACCTCTACTTTTCGTACAGTCTACAGGTCAAATGAGTATTATGAATTTTAATTTACTAAACTAATTATTGCCTAGGACTGAAAATAAAAGAGGGCAGAGAAACATCATACACGCTGGCTATGCACATCATTTTATTTCACATGCACAGAAGCTGACTACAAAATCACATTTAGATGATAATTCTCAGTAACAGAGACGCAGAGACACAAATATAAAAATATTTACCAATTTCGATGAAAGAGCTTCAGGGGGCAGTTGATAATCCTCAACGGGTGTAATAGAAACAGAAAGATCGGCTACAGTGGCTCCCTGTGTTAGAACATAAAGTCAAAAATAGATTCCAAGACAAAATCTGTACCACGCATGTCACACGGGAAGGAATCGAGAGGCACAATATGAAAGAAGATACAAAAAACAATAGCAAAATAAATTCTGTTTCCATTGTATCTGAGAATGAGATGCAGTCTTAGCTATTCCTTTTAGGTCTTTCAACCACAGTTACTATTCAAAATGCATAAGCTATTGACAGTCATTTACAGGCAAGGAGGTGATAGTTCTTTTCTTTTATGTAATTTACATGTACTCATTCCTTATTCAACGGATCACCTAAAACCATAAGCCAAGCCTGGTCGGAAATTAATAGCTCACTTGTGTTCTATGAGTTAGTGCAAATTCTAGGCTGCCCATGGAAGATTCTTGTCAAAATCCTTAAGGCTCAATCATGGCAAATCTGTTTTGAAAGGCATGTATGCCTGCATATCCACCACCATTATCTTGTGGTGTTCAATTTCAACTCCGGGGGAATTTAAGGTTGAAGACGTGACATTTAAAAGCATAAAGACTACTCCGATTGCATTAGGCCTGACTACATACCTTATGTCATGTGACCAATGTTTATCTAGAACAAAATCCAACTACAGAGATTAGCATTAATGTCTTGATATTCTGAAAATTTAATATTCCTGGAATGCTAGCTCTCATTTCTGTTCATCGTTTCATCATGAGAGAACCAAAGGCTCATGTAACTATACATCCTGACATAATGACATCTATACATTCACACGTTAGCCTTGAAAGATGAACATTGATTCACCAGGATAGAATAAGAACATACCGAAAGAAGCATTGCCGTATCAGCTCCCTGTGACTCCTTGAAGGTAACATAGGCAAGCTGAGTTGTTTCGCTTTCCCTGCAAAGTGTACCAAGTATTCGTCACAGTCACTTTATTAGGTCAATTTATTGCCTTGTGATCTACGAGTACTGACCTTCGCATTTCGACATATAGAACATCTCCAGAGAAGGAGAAAAACTCTTTAATATCCCCATCAGTAGCAGTTAACGAAATGTTGCTAACTTTAACTGTTCTAACCTGTAAGGAATAAAAGAGAAGATCAAGATGCAAATTTTTGCGACAAGAATTTTTACTTCTTTAAAACTAAATTTGCGAACAATCACTCCTGCCTTAACATTTCAAACATTTTGAGAACCAAATCTTGGAATATTTTAAGCAAACCCGCCATGTTAGATAGGTAATGTTTCGGCATTTAGGTCTACTCTGAAGCATAATTACTTTACCCCTACCGAAATTCCTCTCATTAGATCGGCAATTCTATTTCTGAACAGTTTCTTTCTGGGATTAACTTATTTGTTTATTAGTTTAGAAGATGAACTCACATCTGAAACATTGATTGTCCAGTTTGTTGCACTATTTGACTTGGGTAGTGCTTCGATTTTCTGATCAGCAGCTTCCTGTACCGGAACCTGCACAAGTAAGCCTCAATTAGGAGCTAAAAAACGAAACACAGAAAAAGCTTGAGAAGTTGACAGAAATATTTAACTTCGACTGGATACACGTACGGTTGGCATTTATAGAGTAATAAGAAGAAAAATCAAAGCCAATTAGAGAAAGAAAATAAGTAAATTAAATCCTGCAAGAGGCACCATTATCAAGAAAATATGCTAACAATCATGGAAACGGATTCATTAACACAGTTTGAGAACCACCCTTTTTTTGTTTTTTTTTGATGACCAAAAAACTACCCTCATTTTAAAATTTTGGTAAACTTAGATCTGTAAAATCTAATTCTCCTTGTAGCGATTTCAATTTGTTCACTCCACTGAAAATCTCTTAACCTAGCTAACCGATACAGGAAAGCAAATGGGATCCAAAGTTCATGATCATGGAAAAATGCCTGCAGTGTAAATTCTAGTGAGAGAAAAAAAAAGGAATATAAATTGGAAAAGAAAAGGATTGATGCGAATTAATTAACAGGCTTGATATAATTATGGGGCATTGCTTAAATTTCTTTTCCCATGAAACCAAACATCAGATCAGAACATACGTACATAAAATAAAAAATAAAAAATTGTAACGGTATAAAAGTACATTGTTCAATGACTTTCTCAGCAATCAAATACATATAAATATAGCAATGAAGAAAAAAAAGTCGAGGGATTTAAAATCGAATTTAATAAACCCCATGATGGCAAAACATGCTGCGGAACGGTAAAAAGAAGGAGTTACCGTCGACGACATTAGGAAAAGAAGATTGCACAATTAATTAAGGAATTTTACAGAGGACAATAGTGGAGTATATATGTATATCATATACATATATGGTTTGCATAGAGAATATGATAGAATAGACAGGGAAGAAAGATTTAAAAAAAAAAAAAAGTAATGGAAAAAAGAAAAGGGAAATGAATGGGAAATAGGAGATGGTGGTTTTTTTTTGGTGGTTTGTTTTGCTTGCGCCAAATTCGCGCGCTCGTTTTGGTCGTGTGTTTGAGAATTTGAATGGATTTGTATTAAAATTGAGTTGCTGTCACTCCAACTCACAACCCTAAAATCATTTTTTTTAATAAATATTTTTCATGCTTTTATATATTTACTAAGTTCAACAATGATGGCTAAACTAATAACAAATTATTAGTTGGTCTTCGATTTGTTATTAGTTTAGAATAATTGGTTGGTTATGTAGAAATTCGAAGATATAAATATAACCCAAATACATTGGGATTTTGATTTTTGAATGGTAATTTAACTGTTATAGCCTTGGCGACGTAGATGAGTTTGTTGCTTATGGAGTGGGGTTTTGGTCATTAGGTGAAGTGGTGAGTGGCTTTTTGTTTCTGTTGGTCGTTGCGGTTTTCGTGCGTGAGAGCGAGTGAGCGGGAGGAGAGGAGTCGAGGAGAGAAACTAAAACATTTTCTTAAACCAATTTTAAGATTCTAATTCTCAACATAAAATTTGTTGCCAGGCTACCACTAAATACTATGAATTTTTTTTTAACAATTTTAAGAGTATTCTATCAATGTGAGTATTTGTTGAGTTTTTTTTTTTACAATTGCCTTAATAAGTATTTGTCAAAAGAAATTTATAAAAATGATCCTATTTGTCCAAGTGTTTTTATTAAAAAAAAAAATCCAAAAAAAAAACTTGGGTAATTGCTATATATGCTAATAACTTAAATTTTATTATAACACTTGAAGACATTCCAAGTATTATAAGTTATTTAAAAAAAAAATTTGACGTGAAAGATCTTGGGAAAATAAAATTTTATTTTGGCCTATATTTTGAACAATTAAACAATGTGATTTTTATTTATTGGTCAACTTAAATAGAAATGACTACAACAATTCTATATGGATAAGACTGATTCATTGACTAGTCCAATGATAGTTTGTTTTTAATTGATATTTAGGACTATTTTCGGTTTTGAGAAGATAAAGAATTTCTTGGTACCTTAGTGCAATTGGTATATCTTGCTAATAATACTCGATCTAATATAACATTTTCTATAAATTTATTAGTAAGACATAGTTTTGCTCTCACATAAAGACATTGAAATTGAATTAAATATCTACTATGCTATCTTCAAGATGCAATTGATATGACCTTACTTTATTTCAATAAATCAAAATTAGAATTAATTAGTTATGTAGATGCATATTATTTATTTGATCCACACGAACTCGATCACAAACTAGTTATGTACATAAACATAGTGATATAGCTATATCATGATGTTCTATGAAACAAATTATAAGCTGCTACATTTTTAAACTATGTAGAAATATTAGCAAATCATGAAGCAAGTCGAGAATGCATTTAGATAAAATCAATAACTCATCGTATCCAAGAGATATGCAATTTATCCATTAGAAAGAAAGTTTCAATAATTTAATATGAAGATAATGTTGTTTGTATAGCTTAAGTAAAAAAATGATACATCAAATATGACAAAACAAAAAATATATATCCCAAAATTATTTTTTTTACACATGATCTTCAACAAAATGATGATATTAACATTTAACAAATTTGTTCAAGTGACAATCCATCACATTTATTTACTCGTTGTTATCCGATATTTAGAAGACTTTTAAAAAATTTATGAAAAAAGGAAAAGAATTAAGAAAAAAGTTTTGGAGTCGTCGACTAATATTAAAAATAATTAAGAACATAAAAAGGACATCTGGAATAAGATATTCTTGTTAAAGAGTTGGTTATGTATTTGAAAAAATAATAATCACTCAAAGACATTCTTTCTAAGGAAAGATATTGGGTTTAGTCTAATCCTATAAATATCTCTTAAAATTTATATTTTTGCCAAATTATTTTCCTAAGTCTATTTTCAAATTTATTTATGATCCATGTCAAATTAATTTTTTATTTTTTATTTGTGGTAATGTATTAAATTAACGTTGGGCCCTAAGATTGGAAATCACATCAATTTAACATCGAATCCAATCATGTCCCGACATGATCGGGATGTCAAGAAACGACCTAATTTAATTAAATGTGTTTTATTTAGACATAGACAAAAAAATATTTTCAAAATTAATCATTTTATTTTTTTATGATGTCATCATATTAAATTGATGTCGGGCTTCAAAGTTGAAAGTCGTATCAATTTAGTATCGAATCCAATTACCTCAAGACATGACTAACATGTCGAGAAATGACCTAATTAGCTAAAGGTGTTTAAATCGAGTTGTATCTATCCTAGATAATTTTCCTTCTTTTTATTTTTTCTTATTATTAATCGAGACCAACATCGGTCTTTATTTAAATAGGAGACTCGTTAGGTTGATTTAGAATTTTTTAATTACCCTAAGATGACATTTTTAATTACAAACTAAGTTTGATATGAGATCTTTATCGGTCCCAAGAATCTAAGAGACTTAACAATCTCACTTCTTGCTAAACGAACATAAAAACTTTAATAAGTAAATTAAATTATAAGTAAGACATAACAAAAAATAATGAAATAAAAACAAACAAAATCTAAATTAAAAGAAAATCTGTAGACAGTCTATTAGTACATGCTTGCACCTCGCCTAAAATCTTTAGTTTTAATTGAGATTGTACAATGGACTCAATAATTAAATTTCAACACAAACCTCCTTAATAATTAAAATAGTGACAGAACAATAAATAAATCATATAAATAATAATAAATGAATTCTAAAAATAGATATGTAAACTAACCCTGAAAGTTTAAGATTAAAATAAAATGAGATAATGGACCTAATAATTAAATTCCGAAACACATTAACATTAATAATCAAATAAATGGCAAAAATCTTAAGCACCCTCAAATGAAGATTAAGGTTTTTTTATTTAAAAAATTTAAAAGTATATGAAAGATAAGTATTAATTCTAAAACCTTACTTTTTGTGTTTAATTAACTAAATATTAATTACAAGAATCTTAGTTATTTATTTATTTTAAATGAGTTAGATTAAAAGAAAATGATAGATCATGTTCAGGAAGAAAAGAAGAGAGGATCCCAGTTCCAAAACCGCCTCTCCAAGAACCCACCCAAAATCCATTTCTCAAGCACAAAACATCCCTCCTCATTCAAACAGATGGCCATAATAACCAACATTTTTTAAGCTTGCAAGAAACGAAAAAGAACCTCTCCTTTTTCCACTTTTAACAACTCTAGTCCTCCTCGACCACCACCCATGGCTCTTCATTCCGGCCCTTTCAGAGAAAACATTAGAGAATTCCTCAAACATTGCTTTGAGATTGAGGATTACACTGTTGCTGACAATCCTGTTTGGTGTACTTTGCTCTTGAGTGAATCCACCAGCGTCATTTTCCCTCTCTACGTTGTTGAAGAGAACATTCACTCTTCTCACCATCGCCCTCTCTGTGATCACTGCAGATGCATTGGTATAAAATATAGTACTCCTGTAAATTGGGTTTTGTTTTTGTTTCTTTCATATTCTAAATTTGGATTTTTGCATTCAGTTCTTTGATTCTTGCCTGATATTGTATGGGTTTTAATTTTGCAATATTATTATTAGGTTCAATTACTTAATTTTTGTCGGGTTTTTTGAAGGTTGGAGTCACCATTTTGTGTCGAAAAGAAGGTATCATCTGATAATTCCCAAGGACGATCAATGGAACAAACCTCTAAGCAAAGCATCTCTTCAGCAAAATAACAATCTCTTGCATGGTCTTATTCACTGCAATGGGTTTGGTCATCTTCTCTGCATCAATGGAATTCGAACCAACTCCCAATTCCTCCATGGGCAAGAACTCATGAATCTCTGGGATCATCTCTGCTCAATTCTCCAAACCCGGTATCTAATCTAACATAACTAACTACGTCATAAAAATAGCAGGTTCAATTATAGTTTTCTTTCTTTCTTTCTTCTTGCTTTTCATTTTTGGTTCATGTTCAGTGAAATTTCAGTGGAAGACCTGTCGAAGAAGGCCGGAACCATGGACCTTAGGTTGCTTTATGGAGTTGCTTATGGGCGTACATGGTTTGGCAAATGGGGTTACAAGTTCAGCCGTGGAAGCTTTGGGGTTACACAGCTGAAATATGAGAGAGCCATTCAAATCCTCAGCTCACTAGACCTGAGTAAGATTATTCATGACTTTTTCAACACAAGGCAAGGCGAAATGGTTAAAAGAATCATTAATATCTATAGGGATGCTAGTGAGACCAGGATGATCACCATTAGTGATTTGTTTCAATTCATGCTTGCTTTCAAGTCCACTCCTCTCATCCGAAGGAAAATAGCATTGGCATTGGCTAGAATTTCATCAAAATCGTCAACACACACAACTGAACAGCCAGAAACTTGTTTATTTAAGGATCCAAACCACCATAGTCCTTTTATTGCTAAATTCAATGAGAGTAGATGGCCTGCGAGAAGATTGGATGATGTAGTCAGAGTGATTCTTAATACTTTGGAAGCAAATGGATCCAAAATGCATCGCCAAACCTTGCGCGATGCTGTTAGACAACACATTGGTGACACTGGTTTGATTGATTTTGTTATAAAAAACATCGATAAGGTTATGGTGGAAAATCGAACCATTCGTCGTGTGGTCGACCCGGTTACTAGAAAATTAGTAATTTCACTTCAAGATGTTGCTCAAGAAGGGAAAAGTGAAAAGAAAATGGAGTCCCACGCTGATATTCCAGATCTAGAACCAGGAGTTGATGTTAGCAAGGATTTGCAGTTTTTGTGCGATTATGTTTTATTGGGCTACCCTGATTCTCATTTGGTTGGTGTAGCAACTAAGGCAATCTTGGATTGCAAGCATTTTGTCAAACAGTGGCAATTTAAGGGCAGTAGTGAGGATTCATTTCTAAGGCTTGTTCTCCGTGTTAGTCCAAGTTACAATGAGTTGATGAAAGAGTTGACGCGACCATTGCCACCAAGTGATCTTCTGGTTGTCCCACAGTATGCTACAGTTGATGAGCTCAAGTTGATGGTGCAGCGTTCCCTAAGGGATACATATCATCTGATGGACAAGTTTGTTGTGAGGGATATACAGATTGGTAAAATGGAGGAAAAGGATTACATGGATGGGATAATGTGTGGAGCGGAGCAAGGTGTGCCGGTTTGGGTTAAGGGGTGTGGGTTAGACTTGGATACGAAGCTGAGGTATCAAGGTGGTGCTGATGATTGGACGGTGGATTGTGGTTGTGGGGCTAAAGATGATGATGGGGAGAGGATGGTTGCTTGTGATGTTTGCCGTGTGTGGCAACATACAAGGTGCAACAGCATTGAGGATAATGAAGCTGCCCCACCTAGGTTTCGATGTTGTAGGTGCCGTGCTGGGAAGAAGTATTGACTCAGTTTTCCTTTCCAGTTTTGACGAGCAGCTGTAAGTATGAAACTGTAAAGGCGCGAGAGAACATATTGACACTTGATAGTATAGGTCGCTGAAAATTTTTCTTGTCGCGAAGATTTGATGAATAGAAAAGTAGTGAAACTGAGCGGGACAATGCCTTCAGTGTTGATTCCCTCTTGATTTTTGTGTAACTTGTAACTCTTAGCATTGATGATAAGAAGCTTTCTCGCAAGTATTTTAAACATGATCAGTTTAACGATAATTTTATTATTTTTACTATTACTTTTTTGTTAGGTTTAATGACATAATTTACTCTTAAATTATTGGATTGTGGCAAAATAAAATCTATATAATTAATTTGAATTATTTAGACTTCAAATTATTGATTTTTGAAAAAAATTATTTTATCTCATTGTGTCTAATGGTTGACTATTAATTAAATAGTATTTTTTTTTCAGAATTAAAATCAATTTTGATTTTTTTCCTTTTTTTTTTAATGGTTTGACTTTTCTTCTTGGATAGTTAATTATGTATAATAGATCTATATGGTGAAAAAAAAAAAAGAAGAAGAACTATTAAAGTTTATTTTCAAATTAATTTTAATTCTTAAAAAAAGAGCTTAAAATAAAATCATTTTAAATATTTTATTTATTGGTCAACATTTTAATAGTCAAATATATATAAAGAAGGACAAATTTTATCCAAAAATTAATATTTTAAAATATAAATAAGTCTAATTAATATTATAAATTTTATTTTGTTACAGTTTTAATAATTTGAAGATAAATTATGTCATTAAACTTTTTGTTATAAAAAAGAAATTAGAATTCAAGATTTTTATGGAGATGACATTGCGTGACAGGGTCGCTGGCACTTGTAATTGTTGGCGTCCCGGTAGGAAAAATACCGGGACAGATGACAGAGAACGAGACGCCGAGCGCATTTCCCACCGGGTCTTGGATCTTGGGTCAAGCCCACATAAGAGCCCAATGGATCAAACCTACAATCCAACATTTTCTTATCTGTTTGTATATAAATAAAACTCACTTCTGACAACCTTAAAAAGTTTGATAGGGCTGGTGGTCAAAACTCCTCTCTTTTTTCTTTTTTTTCCTTATCCAACATTTTCTTTTTTTGTCACTGCTGGTGAACCGGATGCACAAGAACATCAAGCTGTTTTTTTCCACTAATATCTTCTCTCTTTCTCTTTTGTTAATTGTTTTTCTCTCGCATATTTTTTAGAGAATATTCTAATTAATTCAGAATATTCTTATACTTTGTTAGGTTAACAACGAGAATGGAGAGTGATACATTCGTAACTTTCAGCTTCTATTTAATAAAGACACATGTGAAAACTACGGTCCATTTAAATATTATTAAACCTAAGAAAATATTAGACAGGCAAAGCCCATCCAAACAACTTCTAATAGGCGATTAGAATTATCTCGGCCCGGACATGCACCTACTTCCCACCACCAAAGGGACAAAAAATACACTTAATAAATAAAGACATATCTTTGAAATTATTTTTTTCTAATAGACAATAGTCATAATATCTTCATATTTGTTCAACAATAAACCATCAACATCATATACACTTATTCCCTAATTAAAATTAATAGATGATTTTTTTATTCTCTTCATGCAACTTAACGGATCTCCTAAAGAGTAGGTGGTTAAATCTTCTTTTTCAAAGTCATTCTTTCTTAATATTACCACTATTCGTCATTTCTTTTATGCTTGTACTACTAATTTATTCTCCATTTAATTAAGAGAACTTGTTTTATAAATATTTCAATCATTATCTTTGCTATTAACCAACAAATTCTATCATTATATGATCTAGTTCATTCTCTAAAGTTGTACAACCTCATATATCAAAAAGACTCAAATTGAGGATTTTTACTTAAACTCTTACTCTTTCAACCAATTCTAGATACTTAATCAACAACTATATCCAAAGTTTATTCTATAATCTTTCTCTAACAACTCGGTTTACACTTTGTTACAATCAATTATCTATCATCAAATTTCTATTGAATTTTTACATAATTTGTCTCTACAATTTATCATTAATTTTCAATTCAAAATTTTCTACAACTTACCTCTACAATTCATCATCTCAACAAACTTAGATATTTCTCAAACTCATAGTCCAATAATCAATTTTACACCATCATTATCTCATTTCAAGCTTCAATTAACATAATTAATTATTAAATCATCAAAATCTTCAAATTTAATTCAACTCCTAACCCTAACTTAACTCAATTCTTCTTCAAATAGCTAACATAATATGAAAAACTCTAAAATAACCAATACACACATATAATCATCTCAATTTTAAGATTAAATGATAAAAATTCTCACCTTTAACAAATATGTCTTCAATCTCAATTTTAAAATTTCAATCCCACAACAAAAAACCGTCAAATAGATATGGATAAACTTTTTTCATTAAATAGTGAGCAAATAGTGATAGAATAGTGTTTGTTGGAATAAGTGATGAAATAGAGATAGATTAGTGACGATTTATTAGCGAGGGATGCCTAAATTTGACGACAAAATATTTTTGGGAGTTTTAGATATGGTTTAGCAATGGATTTTCTTAGCAATATAACAACATAATTGCTTATACTGTTGCTATTTTCAATATCTAAATTTAGCAACGGAATATACATTGCTAAAATAAATATCTCTTATAAATTAGTGACGGAAGGTTCATCACTAAATGTGAAATATTGGGCGAGACTTTTTAAAAGTCAAAACCACCAAATTAACGACGGACTCTAACATCCGTCACTATATGTAAAAAATAGGCGGCCAACTTTGCTCATTTTTTGACAAATTAGCAATGAATCAATGAGGTTATCGCATCCGTCATTATTTTTCAATCCCTAATTAAACCCATTTCTTCCTCTTCCTCCCCCATTTTCTTCTTCCTCTCCTTCTCTAGTGAGCCACCGATCTCTCACCTTCCAAACCACCACCAAACTCCACTCCTCCACTCTTAATCAATCCACATCCATTCCAAGCTCTCCCAAAAAACCTTCATTTTCCTTCCCTTCTCTTTGTGCAATTTCACCCGAATTAGATAAGTTTTTTTTCTCTTTATTTTCTTAATTAAAGTTAATAATTTATTGTAATAGTTTAATCACATCAAACATCCCTCTATTCTTGACATTTTCTTAATGTGACCCCTATACTTTTTTTTAGTCAACCCCTCTTTTTACTCTTTAATTTGTCTTAATGTGGCCCCTTTAACTATTTTTTGATCAATTTTCTAATCAAAACGGACACCTAGGATAAAATAATTCACATGGCATGACAAATCATATTTTTTTCTACGTGAAAAAAATAAAAAATGATTCTATTTTTTCTCTCTTTCTCTCTCTCTCTCCTCTCTCTTTTATTTCGATTAACTAAATCTCCCCAAGTTGGTCTAGTCTTTGTATTGGGTTTGCCCTCCATGGCCAGACAATAAAAGCTGGTTTCTCCAACTATGTTTTCGTCCAAATTGCTCTGTTGAACTTGTATGGGTCTTATCACTGCATTGTCGATGCTTGCAAAGTGTTTGAGAAGATGCATGTCAAAGATGTGATCACTTGAAATTCCATTTTAGATGTATATGCTTTTACTAATCGGATGGATGAAGCACTCAATGCGTTCAATTCCATGCCTATGAAGGACTTCTCATCTTTGAATGATGCCTATCCATGCCTCTTTAAATCTTCAAAAGTTGAATAGGAGAATTTTTTTAAAACATATTGCTATTTTTTAAAAAATGAAGGGAGAAAAGCAACAACGATATATAAGTCAGCTCCAAGAATCAGATCAAATCCCCTTGAATATCTTTGTAAAATTTGATCAATATGATCAAAATTTCCCCACTCTAACTTCTCAGCCGCTAGCTCTACATGTAGAAGAAAGGTGTCGGTGTCTGAAAATGAACATGAATCATTACGGAAATGAAAAAACTTGCCTTGATCACTTCATTATTTGGCCAGTTAACACAAGCAGCCGGTAAAATCTGCTGCAGAGTATTCCAATGACTCCTACATTTCATAAGAAATCAATCGTATCACAATTAGAAACAGTAATGGAATTTTCAAAACTAAATTGTTGAATATAGGGAAAAATAAAAATTATGGAGAACTACAAAAAGTTAGAGAAACAAAGGGGAGTTTTCTAAAAAAGATTTTATATGTGACGAAACAATAGAGGAACAGTTCTTTGAATAGTAGAAGTAGATTTACTGGCTTACAAAAGAAAACTGCAATATGGTCAATCTATCAATTGATTAAAAAACCTCTGTCAATTTGAAATGTCTTGAAAATCAATAAGAAGGGGCATAGCTTCCATCTTGTTAGCAATACTTTGGTTTACAGAAAGAACATAGCTTGACCTAGTTTGTAATTATTTGGTTTCCTAAACTCAGTAAATTACGAAGCAAAAATAGAAATTTGAAAAAAGAAAAGAAAAGAAAAAAAATATAGCTTAGACTATCGCTCACCTACGCCTAGGCCTAGCTTAAGAATAGAACATCCATGTAGCATCTCGGCATGTTTCGTTAGATAATCATTCAAAAGCAGGGCACCAGGGCACACCAGTTGCCCAATCAAATCAAAATTAGTTACCTCGCAAATGGTTAGTGTAGAGAAAACCTTTCCTATCTAGTGTCAGTTGAGCCTTTACTCAAAAGAAAGAGAGGGCTTTATCAAAAGAAGCAACAACCCAATTTTTCATCTGAGGATAAGAATAAACCTCGTAAAAATTAGGGAATTTTTCTTTTTTTGATTTCATGTACTGCCAAAGCTCTAAATAATTTTTTACATAGTTACCTTCACCAAAAATCTCGAGGCAATTTAAATAACAGCGCAAATAAAATGCTTCCCCGAAACCCAATTAAAACCAACATTATCCTTTTGAGTTGTAATAATAGGTTTGCCAAAAAAGGCGTAAGTGAAAATTTCAATCTTTTTTGCTTCAGCTGCAAGAAG